TGACGTCAACGGCTTCAGCTGTTTAGTCTAGCTGGATTTCGTCAATAAGGTTCCGCAATAAAAAGATATGTAGAACCGAAGTAAACACAATACATAGATGCTTAAAGGTAGTGTGCCAGCTTTCCTGGACCGTATGGAGTTAATGGCCCAGATAAGGAGAACCGGATTTTTAGAACTTATCCATACCTTCAAAACTCATGGAAACGTCTTAAATTCTTCAAATTTTGAGTACCCCAGTGCGAAATTCGCCCCGACGGGTTGTCGGTCGTACCCCAACCACATTTCACACCACTATGAACAATAAATGCACACACTGAAATCGCTATTACCGATATGCTCATCCAATCAAGTTTCGATAAACCCGTTCATCATCATCTCCTGCGGTTTCGAACACGCCTGTTAGGTGGTGCGGTAGACCGCGCCCAAAGCCAGGGCCCCGGTAACGTGAGGTAGCCGAGTCGGGGCAGCGTGCGCTGACCCAAGCCGGAGCCGCGCGTCCTCCCGGTGTCATGTGATAGCCCGGGGCTGCCCGCGGGGATGCGGTAGACCGCGCCCAAAGCTGCGGCCCCGGCTTGGGTCAGCGCAAGCTGCCCCGACTCGGCTACCTCACGTTACCGGGGCCTTGGCTTTGGGCGCGGCTTCTGCTCATACTTTGTGGTGCGGTGGTGGTGCGTCGGGCCGCGCGCTCTGACTTCGGCCAAGAAAAATGCGTCAGCTGACCATTGTCATTTCTGCCACTTGCGTGTGGTGAAATGGGGTCATAACTTAAGAGACGGCTTTTTCATATCAATTATTTTACATAAAATCATATTTCAAACCATAAATAATGTTCGACAGCCAAATAAAAGAAACAATACCAATACAGGCTTACAGTTTAAGGCTCGACATTGTGTTGTCTACGATTAGACAGCTGATAACTCATTCCCGTACGTCGTAACTCTATAATGACCTTTGCTTATTGTCACATGTGCGCCGCATTCGCGATTGTTGCCGACGCCTGTTTGCAGCCCGTGCAGGTCAGCCCACTACAGTTGTTATACATATCGAAAAACCGATAAACTTTTAGGCGAAAAAGGCACTATTCCAGGCCCATTTTTTATTTTTTTTTTGCGATATTAGGTAAAAACAGAAGCTTCTTATCCTAGGAAAAATAAAATGGGAAATCTTTCAAAGGTGGCACACTAGGGGAAGTTGGGGCAATGCCGGAGTTGGGGCAAAGCCGAAATTCGAGATATTTCGAAAACCGTAAGACATGGATGCCACCTGTCAGTGATGCTCTGAAGCTTAACCCGCGCCCTGGTGGGGTCTGTTTATAACGCGACCTGGTGGGGGGGGGGGGCTATTTTTTGCCCCCCCTCGTATCTCCGAAACTACTGGACGGATCCGCAAAATTCAAACGGTGTTCGAAAGGCCTGTCAAATTTGTCGAAGGAAACAAAATTTCATAGACCTCGGGGTCACCGATGACGTCACAGGTCAGGTCAAAGATGAAATGTTTCACCGTTCACGGGTCTTCTAGGGAATGCGCTATAACACCGAGGAAAACGCATTTTGTCGAGAATCAGCGGTAGGGCGTCAGTTGCCTAGTAGATATGTTGCTATTAGAGGTCACTAGCAATACCAGGTCAGGTCACAGGTCAGGTCACCAAGGGTCACAGGTCAGGTCACATGAGCCCAACTTTACTAAGGTTGTGTGATACATGTTTTATGGCCAATTTTTCATTTCCAACTCAATGGTGTTGGTTATAAGACTATCAGTTACGGCTTAGGTCACTTTCTGGTGAAGTTCAGGTCAAGGTCAGGTCAAGGTCAGGCCAAAAAAGGTCAAATTTTAAAGTTGATATTTTTGCATAAATTGGGTATTGATTCGATGCAGCTTGTCACGGGGAGTCTAATGGTGGTCTTTGTTTTGCGCTACGGGGTCTAGAATTGCTAAAAATTGAGTTTGAAAATTTGACGTCATCAATTTTGAACAGTTTTTTCGCTATAACTTCGCCAAAAAAGGAGGTATCAATCTCAAATTTGGTATGTGGATGGAAGGCGGTAAGGACTATCACATATATTCCGGTTTTTGCGAAATTCAAAAAACTTTTTTAATTTTTCGATTAGTATATCCAAAAAATCTATTTTTTTGATTTTTGGGGGTCAAAATCCAAAAATTTCAAAAATCCGAGATAGCAGTTTTGTAGTCCTGTCCAATCTACAGCTTTTATGTCTTTATCATTTTTCTGTATTTGCAAAGCTATAGGCCTGAAAGCTCTTCCCGCGAAACCCTTTTTTGGGTCGAAAACGGCAGAACATGACGTCACTCTGACGTCATTTCCGGCCAACCTATCATAGCCTTTGGAAAAATTTTTGGTCACAATGTGTAAAATTGATGTCCGGGAGGGTACTGAAAGTTTGGTGACGATCGGCGCAGCGGTTCTGGAGATATCGAAAAGTCTGGAGGGGGGGGCAAAAAATAGCCCCCCCCCCCACCAGGGCGCGGGTTAAGTGACTACAATTATCGCATGTTTGTTACGAGTCGTCATTGGGAATACTTCGACTGCATGAGGGCGCCAAGAGCGTTTTCAAGGTACGTTTCCCTTGTACTACATGCGCCTTTGAAGCTGCATTTCTTACTCATTATGCTACCGTTTGTCTGGCCAATTCGGTCAAGTAATCTTTAGCATGTCTTTGCATAAGTGTGCTGCCTATTTGAAATTTATACAGCACGTTGAAAAGTTATGGGCCTGCAAATGAAAGTATGGCTGGCTGGGGTAATGCCGAAAACGTGCGATTACGCACGTGTTAAAAGCACGCTACGTGGACTTTACTGCTGTAGAATAGCAACGCGTATTTTTAGTCACACAAATTACACTTTCAACCGACACAACGGCCTGTTACCTATAAGGAATAACTTACCTGGCATTTTCTTATTATATCACACAATTATAACTTCCAGTGTGCACCGCGTCCTCAAGCTCTTAAAACGCGTGTCAGCTTTGATGAATTCTGGATAAAGTTTGAGCTAAACTGGCAAAAGATCAATGTCGGCATTCCCCGTAGATCATTTCTCCCATTTTCGGCTTTCCCCGCAGTCCGGGGCAACGCCGAAAAAGTCACTTCTTTGATATTTTTAGTTTGTGCGCTTAAGGGTATGCGAATTCATCAAATGCGCCTGGTATGTTTGAAAGGCAAAAGACTGGCCTCTCGAATGACGCCAACAAGAATAGCTTATGTTGTCTACCTTGCGTGCTACGGGCGTCAGAAAAAAAGTCTTCGGCGTTCCCCCAACTTCCCCTACCTTTAAGCGTTTATCTTTTTTTGCGGAGTGAGGCGGGAAAGGCTTTAATAACATTCTTTTGAGAACACATCAACGCCGAGGAATGAGAAATGAGCACATGGGACCGAGACGGCCACCGACGACACTTTGTCGGCTGAGTTCTTTCTGTGAACTGTTTATGCTCTAAGTCTACGCGCTGCCCTGCAGCGTAACAGCGCGGTCCTACGCCAACGAACGCGGTGGCTGCTTCCCGGTGCGAAAATTTAGCTCCAAGTAATTGATTGGTTTTACTTTTCAAACAACACTTAGTCATGGTCAGGTCAGCATGAGGACTCCTTAACCCTCGCCCGTATTGGTGTTTTTCCAGTCGCGAACGTATAAGGGGGGGGGGGTCCGTTGGACCCCCCCCTTGCCGTTTCGCCCCTGATCGAGCTAGAGCTTCGCGGAAAAAACGAGCGTGTTGCCCGTGACGAGAGGAAGCCGATGGTACCCAATTTTAAGGTCCTAGGTCATTGGTTGACCTTGCAGGTCAGGTCAATGACCCCAAAGGCGGGAAAATCGGGACCTGTTAGAACGTCGTAAAGTGTGGCTGCTATGGGGTTCTTCGGGGTGCTGATCACGAATATCATGTTAGTTTTGATCACAGATGATGTCTTCATGTATTTAGGCCAGGTCGGGTCAGGTCAGGTCAGGTCAACCAGTAAGGGTATTCGTAGTAGGTGGCAACCGCCTCTGACAGCTTCGTAACATGTTACGAAGGCACCAAAACTACTTCGTAAATGTTCATATGGTTGCTAAATTCGAATTCAGCTCCAAAAACTGGCCTAGAAACATGTAAAACTCGAAAAAGTGAACCGAGGTCATCAAAGGTCAATGACCTGACCTGACCTTCAGGTGACCTTGACACCCACCCCAATGCATGGGGGCAACATCATATCACATGTTTGAACGCTTGAAACCACGAAAAGACTGCAAACGCGCGGCTAATGCGAGCCGACATACGCCGAATCACGATTCCAGCCAAACATGGTCTCGAAAAGTAGGTCACAGGTCAAAGGTCATTTGGGTCAGGGTCATGAAATTTTCAGGGTAGGTGTGAAATTGATGAACGCGAGGGTACTGAAAGTTTCGTCGCGATCGGCCGCTTTTTACGCGAGTTATTCGCGAAAAACCATGGGGGGGGTCCGTTCGACCCCCCCCCCCTATACGGGCGAGGGTTAATGTGTTTACCCGATCATCTAAAACCTAAACCTAGCCCACCACCTCAACATCTACTTCCAACTCACACCACCAGATGGCAGACCACTCGCCTCCTGCCGGTGCGGCGCGGTGGTCGGTGGGGGAGGGCCGGTAGGGGAGGAGGGAGGGGAGGGGTGGCCCTCAGGCTCAGAAATAACTCACACGTGGTAGCGCCGTCCGCTACAATCGGTGACTGTGTCGAGGCGGGGTTAGACCGGCCGGTGACCTGCGGCTAGAAAGGGCTGTCGGCGGCGAGCGGGGTCACGTGAGGTCAACTGAGGTTATCTGAGATCACTGAGGTCAATTGATGTCAAAAGGGTAAGGGTCAGCTCTGCTAAGCTGAAGTGATTTGTGGTTACCAGAAGTGTTCGAGAAAAGAGTTGAGGTCATCGGAGGTCATCTGAGGTCATCCGAGGTCATCTGAGGTCATCCGAGGTCATCGCAGGTCATCTAAGGTCGCAACTCAAGCCGATCAACTGTCACGGAAGGGCGTCAACATGCCGGAGACAGAGGTAAGTTATGTCAGAATAATGCCGAAATTCGGTAAGGAGCGAAAGAATCCAAGATTCTACCCTTCCCAGCCGATTTGAGTGGTACCCGCCAATAGCCGTTTTTTGCGATTGCTCGTACATGCTAGCGATGGAGAGCTGAAAGCTGCAGCATACCCGACCCTCGATTCTTGCCCCATCGTTTGAAATCAACCACATTTTAGGTCAGGTCAGCTCAATGAATTGTGATGTCATATAGGTGAACCTCTGCGCGATTCTAAAATATAACAACTTTGCAACATCCTCAGTGCCATGGATTTTCTTGTCGGTAGATTGAACCCAGTTGCAAGCTCATGACTTTTTGCACATCAACTATCTTTTTTCGTAACGATCACCGTATAGGTCAGGTCACTCTCGTAACACTGCAATTACAAACCAAGGGGGAGTAAAATTGCGCATTAGTTCCGGAGACTATACTCGTAAAAACACCCGATAAATTATTTCATATCCTATTTGCAGGACCCATTATCATATTTAGTTTCTGTGTTTTGGTCTTTGGTAACGGCTATTTTCATGTCTTTCATGACGATGACTGGAAAAAAATGAGTATGAGCGAGCCGGGAAGGGCACCGTCGAATTCAAAATGACCCAACGAGCCGAATGTTATAGGTAACAGACTCCTCATTCGGGTAATTGTGTGATTAGGGCAACCTTGACAAGAGCTTGACCTGAGGTCGACGACCAAGCAGATTTTTTTTCAACAAAAGTATATTATTCGACACTGCTGAGCAAGGCGATAATAATGCTAAAATAGCAAAATATCTGCAGCTATGTTGAGTTGTAATGTGATATTTATTTCATAAATATGCAATAGGTATATTGCAACAAAAATTACCCGACGCTTCGTTTATTATAATAACCTTGAATAATACCCTATAATACCCATTACCCTTAAAAATAAAACGAATCGTCGTGTAATTTTTTGTTGCAATATTTTGCATATTTATGAAGATCTGCAGCAATTTTTGGAAAGACACAACCCTTCCCTGGGGTATTTGACCTGACCTCAGAGTGATAAACGTGGTAATACTTACTAGGACTGACAATTAAAAAGTTAAATTGCCTTTGTATCGGAGAAAAATATAATCTCCAAAGTCCAATCGACTCTCAACAATGCACGATAATGCCATAAAAGCAATGACAGTGAACGCATGTAATACGCGTTCAAAATCTAACATATAATATCAAAAATCATAAATCTAATATCTGTCAATCAAATAACTATCGATTCATACTACGACACATAGATTATAAAAGATGTCCATAACATTTGTCCCCACGTGATCCCGTCTGTCTGTCCGAGCGAAGTCAGCTGCCAGCCCGGAAACCACCGCTCCGTCTATTTTTGTCCCCTGCACCCCCCCCCCCTACCCCCCTCTCGGTCGTGATGGCTGCAGTGTCAGGTTGCCAAGGGGAGGGGGAGGAGGGGAGGGGAGGGGAGGGGGACAGATGACAGTGCAAATGTAGACACGAGGAGGTATCACGGAGGGTAGCGGTACTAAAATAGACGTAAGGGGGTCGATTTCGTTTGAGTAAGTTACGTTTCAACTTATTGCTTGCATGATTTTGCCGGGTATGTAGAGACTTCGTTTTTTTTGTAGGTATGTCCCTAATAAATCCTTTAGTTGTGGCATGTAGCTGCTAGGGTGTAGTTAATGCCTTCAGAGGTCATGCTGAAGTCTTGTTTGGGTTGGCGATGTTTCAGTTGATAGAGTTGTTTGCCTTATTTTTCTTATTGTAAGAAATTATGTCCCAGATACGCTTTAGATGCGAAGTATCGCTCATTTTATTCCATCGTACATCACCAGATACACTCTAAACTAGAAATACACACCATTTTAGGATGTCGAACTGTGTTCACAGTGCGTCTGATGCTGCACCGTTTCTATTTCCACAGTCTGTGGACCGGCCGTGTGTCGCTTCTGACGCCTCTGTCACAGTGAACTATGAGAGTGGTGAGGGCGAGAGCGCTTATGAGGTCCGCAAAAATGACTTATTCGGAAGGTGAGTGGCGCCAAAAAAAGCAATGCTGTTGAAAAGTATAAAACATGTAGGCGTATAGTACAGTGCAAAGGAAATAGATAAATGAATGTTCTAGGTGGGGACACGAGGGTGAAATATGCTGAAGTATCGCAATTCGCATGTCCGCTGAAATTGCACGGAGAATAGGAGCATGTAACTAATAAGGATTAGCAAAGGAATCTTGACTAGTAAGTGCTTAGCAGCGTACTACAAGGGTCCATACTAGCTCCCATGTGACTGAATCTTTTGGTTGTCTGTATTTCGACTCAAATTTTTATATTTTCGAAAATGGGAATAACATAGTTAACGTTGGCATTAGGGGCATCCGATCACCCAAGTTTTTTTTTCAAATTTGAAATCGCATACCGACGTGAGGTCCCCCTCCCTCCCCGAAAAAAAATAGCACTCACAAAACCACGACTTGCATGCTTTTATTAAGAACAGTCTCAAAAGCCGATCTTCACCAAGAGCTCCATTGCTTTTACTGATACTGAGCTTTAAAACCTCAACTGAACATTTATGACCCAACTGACGAAACTGACCCCTATTGACCCATCCATCCCCAGATACGTGGTGGCTACTCGCGACCTCTCCCCGGGGGATCTGGTGCTTCGAGAACCAGCCTACGTCTTTGGACCCAAACAGAACTCACTGCCTTGCTGCCTTGGGTGCACTCTGCCTCTAGAGGATGAAGAGGACGTTCATAGGTAGGAGAATCGTCAAGTGAGACTGATAATGTGGTGGAGAAGTTGCTGGATGAATCGGGATCCGTGATCCAATGAGCCTGGGTTCGATGGATCACAATGGATATTGGATCCATAACGTTCGTGCATTTTTAATCACAAATTAACAATTCACTAAACCACTGTGCGTAACCCAGCTCAATACTTTGGACCACAATGTGCTCGAGTACGAACCTTTGGAGTTTGGACCATGTTGTAACCAATTTGGGGTTGGTGGTTTGCAGGTGTTCTAAATGTCAGTATCCCCTCTGTTCGTCAGAGTGCGAACAAAGACCCGAACATCAGGTAAGTGACGTCACTGACCAAAAGTGACGTCATATTAGCGTAGTGATGTTCCCTTTAGCCTAGTAACCGTAAGGAAAGGTCTCATGGGCACTTTGCGCTTGTTTCGATCATTGCATGTAGGTAAGCAGAAGTTATCTTCCTGTCTTGAAATACGAGCTAAATCATGCTGGTTGATGGATGAAACTCATAATTTATCACTGCTGCGCCTTAGCTCTGTTCTTTCCTTAGTTTTCCAGACCATAGCTATTTCTTTTCTCGTGGCTGTTCACCCACGAGCCGCTGGGGGGGGGGGGGGGCATAAAGTTGCCCCCCTTTACGTTTTGTGAAATATCTCCGAAACCTGATGAGCTACGAACGTGAAACTTGGCATAGCTTCAAATGAATACCTAGGCAATGTTTGAGAAAAGTTTGGTGGTTATAGCATCAAAGGTGACGTCACAGTGACGTCATAAAGTTTTGCCGTTTTCCGATATGGACCGTTTCTGACGACGCTGAGCATGAAACTCAACTGTAAATGAACTAGACAGCACCTGCTGTCATCTTAAAACATCTAACTACACTTCCATCTAGCTTCTGACCAATAATCGGTCCTTTATATTCGGTCCCATATATCTGATGTATCGTGAGGAATATGAGAGTCGCAAATCTATAATTTCACATATGACGTCACTGTGACGTCATTTCAAATGGGATCAACACCAAATTTGGACACAACCTCGGCTAGGTATTCAGGAAGATGTGTGCAAAGTTTCGCTTCCCTATCTCCTCGCGTTGCGACGATATCGTCGTAGAAGTAAAGGGGGGGCAACTATATGCCCCCCCCCCAGCGGCCGGCGGGTGGCGCGGAGGCCCAGCGGCCGCCGGGTTAACAAAGCTACTCTTATACTGTTACTATCTACTATCTAGAAGGTTACTCGGAAGGAGATACCGATAAATGATAATAGAATAAACCGCTAAAATCACATCTCACCTTTACCCGCTTGCATATCTACCCTACATTTTTCAATAAAATGCATCGGTGCTTCAATGATTCTGACGCTGTCCCTATGTTTATTTTCCCTGTATTGACTGATTCCTATCAACTGCCTTTCTCCTCCCCTTAGCACTGATACATGCATAACCTTTGACCGGTCATCAGCGCTCGCTCTGCGGGGCACTCAAACCTTTTGAATAGTGAGTAGAAACACAGCCGATAGCGTGTTGAGCCTCATTGAGTTGTTTGTAGGCCACTGCGTGACAAGCATTTTTATCAGGCCCATGTCGTCCCCTATCTCCGCGTGTGTCCACTAACACGAATGACGTCACGCATGTGGGCGGAGCTATGGGCGGAGCGTAACACACGCGGCAGTCCAAGCCGCCATATTTGAATTTATATTTTAATAGAATCTTGCCGATATTTTGGGTGAATTCAATTTATATGGATAGCTTGGTGACAGTTTAGCTATACAAATAATAATTTATTATGGATGTGCGTATATTCAGCTTGGAATTGCAATTAAAGTTCCGCACCGCATAGATTCGAACTCGGGACCTTTGGAATACTGCGCGGGCACGCTAACCACTACACTACCGCGACCGCGCGGCGGCTGGCGGCAGGGAGGCTGCGGAGACATGGGGGGGGGGGGACATTGTACGCTTTTGTGAAAAAAAAGCAAAAGATTTAGCGAAAAACACGTAATAGATAACTTGCAGAAAATTGTCTGCTCTTTCAGATTAGATACTTAAGTTTGATATATCTTGTGCAGACTTCATTCCACAGTGCTTCGAAAATCGCTCATTTACATGGGGATTGAACGGGGCTTCGAGACTTGACTCCAAATGACGTCACGAGCTGACGTCACGAAAAGGTAGAATCGCCGGACGACCCTACCTGGTATATAGGGCCTTGCATTTTTATAACTTAGCAGAGCTTAGGCGCTGCTATTGTGAAGTACCTACGTGACTTGAGAAAGGGATCTATTCATGCAGTTGTCCTACTATGTTAGATAAGTTTTTTTTCTTTAGCCCAAGGGTCTTGTGAATTTGATGACTGAATGTGTTGTGCAAGGTATGTGGCGTAAAAAAGGTCTCCTTTTGTCGAATGCCATGCATCGTTCTGATTTGGACGTTTTACCGACTACTCGCTTCAGTCGGCTCACTTGTCGGGACTTGAACTTGTATTCGTTACTGTCAATTTCAAATAGAATGTTCTGTTAATTGCTAGTCAACACAATTTCTACTTGTGTGCGATACTAAGTTATTACCAATAAATGGATTTAGAGATTACCAATAAAAACACGGATTTGACCCATCTCTTTACCTTCCTTCATTGCCGTCAGGTTGAGTGTCCTGTTCTCGCCGCCGGTGGAGCCAAAGCCAGACCCGTGGTGGAGGACTTCACCAAGCCGGCTGCTTATCTGGAGGCCGTGACGGTTGTTCGGGTCAGTGGTGGTCAAGGTCACGTGGGTGAGGGTCAGTGAGGGTTAAGGTCATGTGGGTTAGGGTCAGTGCAAGGGCTGAGGTCATGCGAGCTAGGATCACTTAACGTTACGGTTATGTGAGCAAGGGTTAGTCTTGGTCAAGGCCAAATGTTTTAAGAGTCACTTAAGTTCAAGATCACGTGGGCTGGGGCTAGTCTGGGTCATGGTCACGTGGGTTAGGGTCATACAGGGTCAAGGACACAGGGGCAAGGGTCAGTCATGGAAAATAATACACGATTCAAGATCTAACAGGCTAGGATCTGTCCGGGCTAATGCTCTGGCACCTAGGCCCAGCATCAGAGTGGGATCAATATTATTGTTCATTAGGGGTTAACGTTCTTGTGATAAGAATAGGCTTGGGTCAAGGTCAAGGGCATTAGAATCATTCCCATGAAATATCACGGTAATTCAGATCGGCGGTCGATATGGGTTAAAATTACTGTTTAGTCTGAATTACGGAAAAGGGGTTTGAAACCTTGATAGCTCTGACCTGACCTTAGCCATGACCTCATCTGACCTTCCTCATTCTTCGTCTCCAGCTTCTGAAGCTGCGGGACACTGACCCGGCCCGGTTTGAGCGAGTTATGGAGATGGACTCCAGTCCCGAGCACTGGCCCAAATCAGAGCTCTCAGGAGTTTTCCAACACAACGTGGTCAACTTTCTGAGGACTGTGTGTAAGGTAAGACAAGACCAAGTCAACGCGAGACGTGAAGCTTAATTTTCGGACTGTGTGTAAGCTGAATCAAGCCGAATGGAAGACACAAATACATATATGTTTTCGTTGCCGGCTGGGTCGCGACTAGGGTCGCATTCAGATTAAAGTAAGACGAAATTGCAATTAGATGATTTAGCGCATCGTTAAAAATAAGTACATATTTGAGACACGGAACACTTCTTTTTGGGGCACTATATAAGATGCGTGAACTGGCCTTTTCAGTTAAGGAAAGACATTTCCATCCGTATGCAAAGCTACTCAAGACAGAATAGAGAATATAGGTGCAGCAGTTCTAGCATTTCATAAAACAATGCCATACAATCACTGATGCCCTCGCTATACATACTCCTTATAGTGGCATAGCTTTATAGTGTGGTGTGTATTGGCGGCGACTCACAGGAGCCCCAGTCCCCGCCCACTCCATAACACTTCAGCTACCACCACTGCGTCCTCTTCAGGTGAACGCCGACGAGCAGCTTCTTCAGCGCCTCGGCGGTATCCTGATGACCAACGCGTTCGAGGCTCGGGGGCGGCGACTAGGGTCGCATGTCCGCTGTCTGTTCCCTGAAGCGGGCCTGCTGGCTCACAGCTGCCTGCCCAATGTACACCACACGATCGACCATAACTTCACCATCTTTCTGAGGGCTGCCGAGCCGGTGAAAAAGGTGAATTACTCAACACGGATATGGCGGGAACAGGGTGCTTGTAGCGAGACTTTTGGTGTAAATTTCAGATCACTTGAAGCATTCCGAGACTAAAGTTAAAATTGCATGCCTGGTGGTTTTATATATTCAAATACGTATAAATCCATAACATCGATATCATTTATTAACCCGCGCCCTGCTGGGGGGGGGGGGTGTTTGAACACCCCCCCTTGTGGTTTTTCGCGAATATCTCAAAAACGTACACCTTATCATACATCAATTCTACACATGTTGTGAAAATTTCAGACCAAGGTCATTCAAGGTCAGGTCACCAGGTCACTTGAAGTGACCTCACCTCATAAAAAGTTTCAATGTCTGTCATAGCTACACCGAGTGACCGATCGCTTCGAAACTTTCAGCGATTGCTAAGAGCAATAGCATGTACAAAATGTATATCTCAGAATTTTGATATCGATGACCTAAGGTCAGGTCAATTTTGCGACCTCCCCATTATAAGTCAATGGGAGAAAATTGAAATGCGCCTCTTTTGGACGAAAGAAATTATAAACACTCCCAAACACCGAATTACAAGTGGTTTAGACACACTGAACATGAAAATGGTGTCCGTGACCCTTGTTTATGCCCTGAGGTCATCTTAGGTCACGAATGGTATCTAACAGTTTTTCGCAAATAACTTTTGATAGAAGCATGCTAGAGCGATGAAAACGCCTTAGATGTGTTCAGCTCGACGATACGGATCGACTGATATGCAACATGACCCTTTCCGGTCAGGTCAGGACCTTGACCTGAGGTCAAATTTTCAAGTTGACCTTTCAAGGTCACGTTATAGTTCATTCGATGCGTCTTGACGAGAGGAACACGATGCCGGTAAAAATAAGCTCGTACATGGCTTGGGTCAAAAGTTATTGCAGAAAAACTGTTTCCGAAAAAATCGGCTATTTTTGCAGTTTTTGCCCCCTGCAGGCAAAACCGTTGACGTTAGGTCAAATCTGTGAGAATTAGTCAGAAAGGGCGTTAATAGGGCTATCGAATACGCTTTTCCGCGGCGCTGTAGCTCTATTGGTTCCCGAGTTATGCGTTGGCTTTTTGGAAATTGTCGACATTCGACCTGGAAATCGGCGAAATTTTGCCTTCAATGACCTCTGGTGACCTGACCTTTGACCTGACCAAAAAATTGACCGAAGTGATTTCGTCATTATTTTTGCCGCTCTTTCGAACGTCGCCTTCCGCGTATCGCTACGTGGCCCAGGAGCCGAGTTACAGGGGGGGTGTTCAAACACCCCCCCCCCCCCAGCAGGGCGTGGAAATCCAGGACCCCCAGCCGGGCGCGGGTTAATTTATAATCGATATCTAGAAATCAAATGCCCGGTCTTTCTGGACGTTATTTACTTTCAGAATACTTCACTTTCAACTTACAACCACAACTTAATATTCATTTTCAACATACAACATACTTTTCTCCCTCATTGGAGCTAGACTGTTTACGCGTCGTACTGCTTTATCTCTATCACAAGAGACCCTCACACTTCCTGCCTCTTTTCTCTCCCACAGGGAGCGATATTGTTCACGTCCTACACCCACTGTCTCTCTGGAACCCTGAGTCGCCGGCTGCACCTCAAACACAGCAAGTTTTTCGACTGCGGCTGCACACGCTGTGCTGATCCGACCGAACTCGGAACCAACTTCTCCGCTCTGCGCTGCTGTCGGTGCACCAAAGGTAGGACAAGTTGGTGATGGTACTGTGGACCCGAGAAGTGTGTTATTATAATGTGTGTTATTGTACTTTGTTACACATTATTGTAATGTGGAATAAAGTGTTGTGAAGCAACACAATTTGTGTTATTGTAATGTGTTGTAAAATTCTTGTTGTAAAATGGTGTTGTAAAATGTTATAAATGTGTTGTGAGTTTATCAGGAAGCGCACGTTTTATCGTCTTTGTGCATTGTAAATCTTCATTGTTCATGAAATAGTTTTATGACGAAGTTCTTGTTTTTATTCATTCATTATTTGTTCGTGCATTTGATTATTCATTTAAGCAGCTAATCGTGTATATGGTTCACCTACTGCATATGATGGCCACTGTAATAAGGCTTTTATTGGTATTGCTGATGATCATATTAAAAGCAATCGTGCAAGGTCCAGTAATATATCACTTGTTATGAATGGTACCGTAAAAGCATGAGAATGCCTAGTGGTGTTTTTACTCAGATAAAATATGTGTTTGCTGCAGCCTTATTATCCGAACCCCATCAACAGATATAAATCAAGATAATTGATTATCGTTTACAATAATTGACCTACCTCTATTACTTTAAATTCACATGTTCTATAGGGCACGAAATAAGTAAGGAAAATGATATACACCCTTGGCCGTAAACATTTATCGGATCGATTGTCAAACCGGTACGTTTTGTTTCAGGTTTTATTCTACTTTGGAATAGTATTGATTCTTGACTTTCAATGCTCAATAGTTAGGCTAAATGGGCCCGTGTTTTTGTTTCAGGCTGCATTCTACCCCGGGATAGTTTGGATGCGCAGTCTGAATGGACGTGTGTGGAGTGTGGCTACGAGGTACATCCGGATAATGTCAGGTCAGTACGCCAGGCTAGGTCAGGTCAGATCAGGTGCGGTATGTGTGGAATGCGGATATGAGATACATCTGGACAACGTTAGGTCAGTGTGCCAGGTCAGGTCAGGTTAAGTCAGCAGCTATTCTGAAAGCCTTCTATGGTTGTTACGCTCCCTAATTTCAAGTGAATACGGTAATCACTATGGCTAAATTTACGTGTCATGCCATGTCATGTTGCAACACGTCAGAGTTGATAAGTATATGAACAGTGATCCTTGTATAGAATAGTTCCTGTAAAGTGTGTTTCTATTCTTGCCCAATGCCCACTGGCCAGTGAAGGTTTGTCTTCTGGAAGAGAGAATCTAGTTGATGCCTCAAAATTTCACTAAGTACTTAGAACGACAGATTCTTCAGTCATGGTTACTCACTCATTTCTTTCAAGGGGAATATCAACTTTTCAGTCGTGATTCATTGTCTATTTCAACCCTGGTGAGTCTGAACTGTTCAGTAGTGGTTGATAGCATTTTTCTACCATCAGGAAGCTCAACACGATGCTATTGCACGAGTTGGACAGTCTCGATAACAGCGACTTCATCGAACACGAAATGTTTATTCGGAAATACAGCAGCCTGCTGCACCCGAATCACTATATCATCTTCGACGCCAAACACAGGTGGGTTATGACAGGGAATTTCAAGTCTTATCACTGACAATTCCAAGGAAAAATGAATTTGGGCCATTTGCTTCTCCCTCATGACCCGAAATTGATGATTGTTCACCGTTTTCTGCCAATTAAAAATTTGTCACTTTCATTTTTTGCAAGCTTTCAAATTGCCCAGCTATGCATAAGGAAGAAAGATTCGACGATTTTGGGGGAAGAGTGAGAAGCGTTTCGGGGGTAGATAGGTATATATGACTGCAGCAGCGGGATATATATGACGGATTTAATGGAGGGATAAATGCAATTCCCTGAAAAAAATATAACCGTATGTGTTGTGTTACAGGCTCTCCCAAATGTACGGTAGAACAGGAGACTATCAGCTTCAGGAGCTCACAGAACTGCATCTGAAGAGAAAAATCGAGGTAAGTACAATGGCACATGGGCATGACGAAGTGATGAATCTTTGCTACCGGTGTGTGTCTGTATGCTACATGTCAGTGATAGCTGATAAGTGATAACTGAGCTGTTGTACCTATACAACATGACTGGCGACTGCTGGCATAAATGCGACTAAACGTGAAAAAAACGAGCTTAGGTTGCAATGCATATTGCACATACTGCTGGGTATTTTTTCAGTGCGAGAGATGGCCAACCCCAGACTATTGAAATTGCTTGCTGCATTGTTTGATACATTTGGTTCGTATAAACTATTGCACACGGCAGGATCATGCTGTATTGGTGAATGCGCTCAAATCGTAACAATCTGTTTGTACTTTGTGTGTTCCCAGCTGTGTCGAGACGTGCTACAGCTGGCCACAAGAACAGCACCGGGTATCGCCAGACTAACTGGTCAGTAGGAGCATGGGATATTATTCAGGGCTCACATAGCTCATTTGGGGTCAGGGATGAGATATCACAGCACATGTTACGGGGTTCGTTCTGTGCCCGTCTTTGGGGGGACATGACCTCCCAGTATTCAGAGACATGAGCTGAACTGAGCTGGCGGTCATGTTGGGTCAGGGTCCATTGTTCAATGATCATGACTGATAGCTACCAAAGGTCAAGGGTCAGTATAATTGATCAGGGATCATTGCATTTGGTCGCCGTAAGGTCACAGTCCAGAGATTAAAAAAGAAAAAGAGCTTAGGGTAGACCGGGGCAAGTCGCCCCGCCGAGGTAAAACGCCTCACCGATGTTTCTCGCAACTGGCAAGGTTCTGGGGAAACATCCTCTCTTCTATAAAACGTGCACTATACGATCATTATATGAGCAGACTGGAAAGAAATTGTGATGACTCTTTAGGGAGATATAGCCAAAAATGTGTTTTTGGAGTGATTTTTATGTTTTGTTGTCAGCTTATGTATCATGGCGTTCTTTTATTGTCCACATCAGGTTAACGACTTTTATGTATTTCGAACAACTATTGTCTAACGCTTATAATGCCGGGCTGGTTCGTGTTAAATTATGTCCTCCTAGAGTGCAAGGCGTTGTTCTCTGACCGATTACGTGATGGGGTAAAACGCCCCAGTAGGTCGCGGGGCAAAAAGCCCCATGGGGCGTTTTACCTCATGTGTTGTTCGGACTACCCACTTCCTAATGCTCGGTAGCTGGCGAACGGTATGTTTCTATGCATTTATATGTACTTTTCTCAGCAACTGGATGGCAAAGGAAGTATTTTGTTAACATTTGCATTGCAATGATTTATTATTTGGCCTTATGAGGCAGGTGAAAAACCTGCTCATACAATAGTGTCGTAGCTGAACACCTGATAGGATGGAAGGTGCTAATTTCAGTGCCGTGCCTCCCAAGGTCTAACGGACCTCTCATATAAGATTTAGTCAACTAGCATGTTTAATCTTTAATCTAGAGTATGGGGCTTCTTGCCCCAGGCCATGGGGCGTTTTGCCCTGGGGTTGGGGCAAAACGCCCTATTTGCAGTTGCTTCACAAACCACTTCCTAGCTGGGAGTCCGATCATAAGTGAATGAATTTGAGGGGTGGAATTTAAAGTAAAATGTCCAAAGAACGCATTGAGCACAAATTTGGCCTTCCAGGTGATGTGGGACAAAAGTTATTTAGCAAAATAAATTATCTGGGGCGTCTTGCCCCAGGCTACCCTATGTCTGGGTCAGGATCTGGTCAATGACTCAATGCACTGACCATGTTTTAATATTGCCTTGCTCTATATCCGTTTATTGACTAGTTGATCTAGCCTACACTATGTACTTGACCCTGCCCTCAGGCCTGACCTATTACGAACTTCACGCTCCACTGATGGTGTTGGCACAGCGCCAGTACGCCCGTGGTGCCATCTCACGGACAGAAATGGAAGCTCTACTTGACGAGGCGTCCGATAATCTAGAGAAAGCCATCGGAATGTTGAAGTACGAACCGGAGCTGTCGCTGGAGGGCAAAATACACGCCGTAAGTTACCGTTATATTGTTAATCTGTAGCTCTCTGGGATCAAAATATCAACAAGTTCTGTTGTAGGTATACCTAGGTGTAGGACCTAGGTAGGTACCTACCTAAACAGAACTATTATAAAATACGTTCTGACTAAGCTGCTTTCACACATTTTTAACAATGAATAAATGTAGGTATATTGCGCTCCTATAAAAACATCAGAAATATTGATATAAGAACTTTCTTTTTCCTTCACTGATCTACCTTTGACCAACCGTTAGCATTGTCAGTAGTGGCGGTCCCTGGCGTGGGGAACCCTAACCTGTAGTTTCTTCTCTTGCCACCAGTCGGCGCTGCGGAGCCGTGAAGAGCTGGCTGCTCTACGGGGAACGGTAGTTGATCTACCCGAAACTGGTCGGGGTCATCTCACACCTGCCCACATTGACGAATTGGTGGGGGAGTTTAACGCCGTGCTGGAACTGATGGACGACTACCAGTGGCGTGTCTAAAGGCGTCTTAGGGGCGTCTTAGGGGCGTCTCAGGGGTGTCTTAGGGGCGTCTTAGGGGCGTCTAAGGGCGCCGGAGCGTCCAAGGCTCGCCCTGGCTGCCGTGGACCGTCTTATGTGTTGAGATGTCTGATAGACTCCCTGGGCGTCTAAGGTTGTTTTATGGGTGTCTAAGGTCTCCTTAGGGGCGTTTGGGAGTCTTTTGGCGTCTTGGGGCGTCTGAGAGGCGTCTAGGAGACGTCTTAAAGGCGGGTTGGCTAAAAGCCTCCCGGACACTTATAGTAGATTGTTCCGAATCTGGGGTGCCTTCGAAGTCCGATCGCACACTGAGATGCTCCCCAGTCCCCAGGAATCCGAGGGGCGTCTTAGGATGTCTAAAAGACCCCCGAAAGCCGATCCAGGACACATTGAGAGACTTAGGGGCACCCAAAACTCAACGGGAGTCTTGAAAGTTCGAGCGATCCCTTTAGACGCCAACAGTTTTTTTTAAGCATTTCGTGGTGCCCCGTCAATCTTAGCGTTGTCCGCCAGTGTTTGAGCGTTGAGACGGAGAGAAGAGGACACCTTTTGGTCCTAAACAACGCTCCGGTATTTGAAAGACAGTCTTAGAACGCTCCATTGGCGTACTCTCAAGGGCCTATAAGAGAGTTTGTCTATAGATGACACCCATGTATGTACATATATTGTATAACCAAGATAAATCAGGATCACTCCATGTGAGTCATTTCTTAGAGCTTATCTGCCTAACTCTTAGCTTATTTGAGATGAGATATAGGTAGTTAACCCGCGAGTTGCTGGGGGGGGGGCGTTAAACGCCCCCACTTTTTTTCGCCGGGCCATAGCATAAAAACGGCGCGCCGCAGGCGCGCCAAATTTTTAAGTACCTGTAGGGAATTGATTGAAGTTTATTGAGACAAAGTTTCAAAAAAATCGGTCGGAAAATTTTTGAGATATCGAGGTTTTAGTGACGTCATGATTTCTGAGTTTTCGACCAAAAACGGCATATGTTCAAAAAATCATATAAAATCACAGAATAGACATATAGACATGCCGTAAACGCCATTAGACTGCCAATACCATGAACAATCAAATGGCTATCTTCGATTATTGATTATCGTTCCGCATTTTCCAAAATCTTGAACTGAATCTTGGCAATTTCTCGTGACTACTTCCCGACCATGATACATGAATTTCTTAAATTGAACTTTTTGAGCCAACCACGTACACATATGATAAAATGAATGTCACCATCGTGTTCTACGCTCCAAATTACCCATAAAACATGTGTCACAGGCTGCGAATATCAGTTTTGATTTTCGGGAATATGTGCCTACCCGGTTGACCTGACCTTGACCTTGACCTATGCTTGACTGACCCCTACATGGAGCTGACACTCTTGTAGGCCTTACCGATAGGCGTTATCACTAGTGTATTCGCGGCCATTGGGGCGACGTAAGAAAAGAGGAAAACAACTGGCCCCAATAACTTTAAATTATCAGTTAGCATGCATCTTTTCCTTGATATGTAGATAATTTACCATTAATTGTTAGAGAAAATTGCATATAAAATCTTCCATTTATGCTTTTTTCATCGTTTGCATAATATGTTCTTTCACTAAGCTAGAAACACTAATTAGAAATAGTTCCCGCATCTCGTCAAGAATAATAGGAAAGGCTTGAAGTGAATAGAATAATCTAAATGGTTTTGTAATCTATGTGAAGACACTTCTAAAATTGCCTGTAGAAATATTGAAGGCAAAAGTTCAACTTTTTCACAAGACGGATGTCTATAAACCTATTCAACGTGTGACAACTCAGCCGGTATTTCGTCGCCTACAGCCAAGCTTTCCCTAGTGACCGATAGAGGCGCTGCTATCGATGTCCGCCCGTGCCGCCTAACGCATGATGGATTGTGCACCGTTTTGACAGAGTTTATGACGAGAGGCGCCCATTGCGAAGCCCTGAAGTCCATGCTACTGAAAGCCCGATTTCAGGTGTTTGACCTGACCTTGACCCGACCTGTGACCTCAAAATTCAACTTAAAAGTACTCATCTGATGCGTCTCGTCGCGTTCTTTCGTTTGCCGCCTCGTGCGTTTCGCTGCGCCTATTGGTTCTCGAGTTATCGGCTGGGGGCGTTTAACGCCCCCCCCCCCCCAGCAAACGGTGGGTGGCGAAATACCCCAGCAACTGCCGGGTTAAGAGTATCCTCCACCCCCTCCACTGCACCCGCCTGGGTGTTGTAGGTATTAGCCTTGCTGCAGATGTTGGGTTTAGTTCTTCTCCTGTTTTTCGAAGTGCCATTATTACTCCCGTCCGTTTTAACCCTATTAGTGGCAGGGGGGGTTGTTTTTATCCACCCCTCAGGTTTTTCGGGAATATCTCCGAAACCGCTGAAGCTACGATGCTGCAATTTTCTGACTTTTCCTAAAACTAAATTGGGCACATTCCCTGAAAATTTCAAGTTCATAACTTTACCATGGGCGGCTCCAGAACACTGGGAATTGGGGGGTCCTATTCGTGAAGCGAGTCGTTTGGGCGAAGATCACGATGCTGCACCAGTTTAAGAACAGTGAATGAAAGGTATCATGTGATAACATATGCAAAGTTATTGTGCATCCTCTTTTGACACGTTGTTGCTATAATAGGCGGATCCAGGCGTCCAAAAAGGGGGTTATTTTTTACCTCCCAACATAGGTGCCCTGACACCGCCTATGCATGACCAATACAATTTTAGTCGTTCTCTCATAAGAAAATTGTAACATAACAAGACCATTGCCACCCTTTTTAGAAACAGTACCAACAAAAACCTTATTTACTATACTTTTTGTGTACCCCCAATCTCAATGATCTGTATCCGCCTATGATTTTTGAAAATGCATATTTTTAGGATCCATGTGAATTCCTGGTTCATTCTCTATCGATCGGCAAAAGTTGCGTTAAGATTGGTTCAGAAACCTGGGCCCAATCTTACCAAATGCCGTGAATGCGCATTCACGGCATTTGGTAACTTTCAGAACTATTCCACATTCACTAATTCATTCGATCAGGCAACATTCATAATCATTCACGCTATTAAAATCATTAGCCAAGATTAGCTGAATGTAAATAAAAAGGATGTCTTTGATATCAGTGCCATTAACTCTGCCCAGTGCTGCCAAATCCTATTCACGGCATTGGTAAGATTGAGCCCAGGCCGTGATAAACAGTCTAAAATGTATCTGCAATTTACCCTTTTTTACCCCCTCTACCCCCCTATTGACATTTTTTTTTTTTTTTTTAGAAATGTAGATCTCGTTGAGCCAAATCGAATGCCGTTTGAATTTTGAAAATCGGCCCGTTAGATCTCGAGATATCAAGGGGGTCGTAAACAGCCCCCCCTGCCACTAATATGGGGTAGCCAGGAGCCTGCCACTAATAGGGTTAAGCCCGCACAATGACTGATGATATCGCGTGCGCAGCGATTTTGTAAAGATATAGCATGCGCTAATGCAGCAAAATCTCAACACGTTTCGTGTTCCTTATCTTCTGCGAATAGCGGTAACAAGTTGAACAGTCGAACAGCAAGTGATAGCTACTCATTTTGTATTTTACTGGTTGTTACGTAGGTATAATAGCAGTGTTTTAGTATGATATAATTTTTTGCTTAGCAAATATTATTAGTTAGAAATGTATAATGTTTTTATTGTAGACATAGACACACTTATGTTGCTGATTGTTGTAATTGTATTGACCGATTGTAACCCTGTATTGAGAGTGAAACGTGTTCTTCATGTTCATACAATATACGGTCGGCAAATATCTTTGTGATGGTTTGTGAGCTGTGGTCTGGCCCAAGTACAGATACATGAATAAACCAGCGTCCTTACCATGGCTTTCGTGAGTTGTGACGTTGCTGTTTTATGTGTGTTTTCTACAAATGTTCACGGTCATGAGCGTTCCCACAAGGACTTAGTCGCTGTAACGACTGAATAAAGTAGCGACGGAGCCACTGTCGTTATTTGACGATTGACACAACACGACTCACAACCCCTTCCCCTCCCAATATAACGCCAGATAAATGTAACGACTCAGCACTTATCAGGACTGTGCAAAGTGACGTTTTTGTTCCCGTAGTTAGGTACTCTTCAAAATTCCGATTTTGCTCCCGTAACGACTGAGCAAAGAAACGACTCAAGGACCGTAACGACTTGACACTCTAACGACTTAGCCCGTCGTTGCACAGCCTTTCGTAACGACTGAGTAAAGTAACGACTTAGCTTCCGTAACAACCTCGGTAAAGTAACGACTCGACGCTTGCAACGTCGCTCATTGCAGCGCCACCGCGTTGCAAAGGGTCGGGGGTCAACAGTCGGCGGCTTCCCTGGTAACGGCTACACTGGGCTGTGGTGAGGGCGGCGGCCGGGCAGGTAGTGTGCTGTGTCGGTTAGCCAGGGAGGTCTGTTGAGGTGGAAAGTGGACAGGGTGAGGTCTTGACAGGCCTGTGTAGAGTGAAGGAAGCGTGGAAAAGCAAGAGGATAGGGTGGGCAGTAGTGGACAGTATAGTGGACAGTGAGCAGAAAGCGAGGGCCTGCGAGTTTGAAATAAAATGTAAAGAGAGACAGCAACTAGACCGAGGATGAGTTGTGTGAAGTATCGGGAAGATCGGAGTTGTTAGACGGTCAAAACGTTGCTGGACGACTACTCTAACTGGCTTGTAGTGACAGCTAAGCAGTGACGAGCAGTAAATTGAATAAAGTGCTGTCATTGCCGTCCGAACCAATCGATGCTATAGGCAGTGAGAAATAACATGACGCAGTTTGATTATGCAATGTGACAATGCAACCAGGGACGGTCACTATAAAGTTTGGAAGTGATGGTCGCGTCTGTCTAGCTGATTAGCTGGCTTGTTAGCTAGTTTATTATTTCTCCCTCAATGGCGCCAGTCCTGAAACTCATGGAGTGTTTCTCCCGACCTGCACATCTGCCGTTGCTGGCGATCTTGCTAGGATTGCTAGCTGCTGGCTGCCCGTCTAATCAGTCGCAGCCGATAGTAGACTATCAACAGCTAGAAGCAGAGCATCAGAAGCTAGCAGACTTTCAGTTGCTAGCCTCAGATAAAAAACAGTCAATAGCAGACCAGCGCCAGCTAATCGACGTTGAGGAGCTGCAAACAGAAACAAACGAGCTTCAGCCAATAGCAATAGATCAGCAACTGTCGGTAGCAGACCATAGCCATCTAGCTGCTGCTCAAGTGGAGATAGAAACAGATCAACTGCAGCCTCCAGAGATAAGCCATCAGCTAGACGCCAACGTTTTGCGACTATCAGACACAGACCAACATCACCCTGCAACACTAAGCCAGCGATTATCAGCAGTGTTGGACCAGCAACTTTTAGAAGACAACCAAACGCAAATAAACGCAACAAACCAGACTGAAACCGAGCAGAAGCGAGATCCTGTGGCTGAGTTTCTGATTGATTTTCTGGAGTGGAAGAAGACGACGTCGACGATACTCTATTACAACGATAATGATGAAGGTGCGAAACGGGTAATACCTATACTATCTTGTATGCGTACGTTGTGTAATATACGAGTAGCCTAGACTCTGCGTGATATCATAGCCAGTCTTTGTAACTTTTAGCGCAGCGTGCCAATCTGAACGGCTTTCGGTTATATTTTATGTAGCCCTTGCCTTTGAAGTATCAACCCATCTAAAAGGTAGTCTTGGCACGGTTAAGACCTGACCAATACTTTGAATAGTTTCCAGCCTGGGAAACCAATGATAACGAGCTCTGAGAAATTGAAGGAAAGGTTGAAAGTCTTTCTCCGTCTCTAACGGGTTCTTTCATTTATCCCTCTCGCTACTTCGACTAACAACTCCAAAGTCCAACAACTCCAACTCTCTAGCTTGGCCGTTTCTTTACGGCTACCTCGTCTACCATGTTCTGTCTAAAACCCCTCTCTCGACATATTCCACAGCGGACTCTACCCCACCACCTCTTCACCTAGACTCGTCCCTCGCTCGACGAATCCAGCAGCATCTGTGTTCGTACCTCACTCTGGTCCCGCTGCAGTCCGCTTCAACTGTTCTACCGCGACTGGGCACTCTGGCGCAGCAGAGCACGACACATGTGGTACTTGATGATGGCGATGCAAGTGTGGAACTGCTGTCGAAGGTGAGAGATGACGTCACGTGATATTCTATGAAAGCGACACAAATATGTCTCAAGACCTTGGTTTCAAGCATTAATTTCATGGATCTCGAAACAGTGAAATGAATAGGGTTGGGACCTATCTGCATGCTCTGTATGTTTTGGTAAAATAAGAAAGCTCAGAATTTTTAATGATTTAATTTAAAATCAATTTGTTAAAAAAATGCCTAGTTAGCTCAAAAATTAATTAATTGTGACTGAAAATAACTTGCTTCTGATTGGTCGGGCTAATCATGACGTCACATGTAGGTATATAGCTGTCTGTATATTTGGCGCAGTTGAGGCATACATTTTCTATGTATTTCCCTATGGTAAATCGGAGTGATTGGTCGTTTATTCAGTGTCTCTTTATTTTGCGCTGGTATTGCGTGGCTAAGAAGTTTTATCAAGAATGACATATACTAAAATGTTCCTTTAATAGTGGAGCTTCAATATCTGTGAGTTTTATTGGCAAGCGAAAACTGATTTCGCTGTTATTTTATATGGAAATTACTCATTTTCTAGGTCAATATTCAAAATATTTTACGGGAACAAGTTGGCACTTCTCTTGATTTTTGCACTCAAATCGCGTGCGATTCAACTGTATTGGAACTTGCAAAGAAGCTTGGTGATTAATTAACTGCGTTGTTATGGCACTGTTTGCAAAGCATGGATAACGAAACTGCCAAAGACTTAGCTACATAGCAATGCCTCAAGTAATACGCAGGAGGGACAGAATTCAGAGTCCGATCGAGAAGAATCGGTGCAAATGCTACGAGGACCAGGCAGCTCTGATACGATGGCTAGTCGTCTCACTCCATTAGACCAGCTGATTCCTGACAGCGCCGACTCGGATACAAAGATGGAGCTCATCTGCCAAGCCAGAAACCAGTCCTTTGATGGAAGATGTGATGCTGCCTCTGTCTCTGCTTTGTTGGCCACTTCGGACGGGGCGGAGCTCCGCTCCTTGCGTGAGCGGCTATTCGCCTGTCATCCAGAAATAGTTCCTTCGTTTGCTAGCCGTTCCCTGATTAGGTGTAATACGGGGAGCTGTAATCAGGGAAGTAACTTTCCATATGAAAGGGGTGCAGGTGCACCCCCGTCCCCCATCCACTAGAAGTGCACCCCCATAGGCTAAGCGGCGCCCCACACGCCGCCCCACACCGATTAGCTCTAGAGCAGATGGCGAGGGTGATTTCCCGGCTACATGCCATCTCGGCGTCGTGATGCTTGTGGGCTTGGAAAATGTCCAGAGTGTGGTGTAGGGGTAGGGTTGAGCTCAATAAGGTACTTACATTTGAAAGGTTTGAACAACCCGCAATCAGCACAACATACCACAAGTTAAATAAAAAACTATCAAACTCCGCCCAACTAATATAAATAAACATTGCAGCCAAACTAATGGTCTAAATAAAAATATATCTCAAATCCTAACAGTTCTCGCGGGTGATGGCTCCATGAGTTGCTATTATCCAAAACAGATGCAAATAAACATGTTTGTATGTCATATGTATGTATGCTTGTTGCAGCGGCGCTGGGAACTGCAGTCTTAGATCTGGGTATGTTTAGCATCTGCAACTCTTCATATACACATTAACCCTATTTCGGACGGGGGAGGCCTTTCAGGATTTTCTTGTACAATTGTCAAACGCCGCGAGACATTCAGCTCATATTTGGTGACTTTTCCTAAATGCTCATTGCGCACATCTCAGCAAAAAAAGAAAGAAAAAAATGCCGGGTCAGGTCAGGTAAGGTAACCAGAGCGGGTTTGTTGACCCCACCTCAGAAAAGTTTGCAATCACGTCAGAGCTTGGGTTTTTCACGAAGTTATTTCCTCTCATCAAGTCTTCAAAACAGTACCTGCAGTATGTGTCGTTTGTATATCTCAGAATTTTTTTATCTGTGACCTGAGGTTAGGTCAGAGTCGTGACCTTTACATTGCAAGCCTATGAAAAAATATTGAAATGCGACCTGCCTCGAGTAAACGAGTCAAAACCGCCCAATTCTTTAAGAATTATGACAAATTATCTAATCTGTAATGATCCAGGTGCCATTTACTGACAGGGACACCGGAGAGGGTTATCTGAGGGCGAGATCATGTGAGGTGATATCTACCAATTACCATACATCAATGCTCACAATACTTACAATATTGACAATGCTTACAATGCTGTTACAATACTTACGATGAGACCAGCAAGCACTCTGCCGTTACAGTTCAAACTTCTGTTTCGAAAACCGACGTTACACACATTCGCTGCCAGCATAACATGTATTGTTTGACAGTAACAAAATACAATTGACATCTGAACCCCAAACGGACCGCCATCCACTCAAATTTTATAACCCTGACCGGTCAGGGGGCGAATGGAGGTCATCTCCTGGGCATTACACTCAGCCCTTGCACAAAATATCTCACCTCACAGTGATCATTACAATATCTCCGACTTGATAGTGGATTTCAAAGTACTTGCATCAGCTCTTCTTGCTATTGCAGACGATCATCTCCTCAGGGTGATGTTGTTCGGGACATAAACGAAGATCGTTTTCGGAGTTTCATAAGTGCTACTGCAACAGCCTGGCACAAAACGGGACTTGTACGCTTTTCTCTGCACTTTGCCCTTCAGTATATCACAAAATAATTGTTTAGAATCCATCTTACGCTTCTTTCACAGTCTCCCTTGCCACCGTAGGGCGTAGATAGGTTGCTGTTGCTGGTAAGTTAAGGCACGGTAGATAGAAATTACCTCGGTTCTCAACGCCTTAATTTATTTTTATGAAAAAGAACAAAGCAATTATTAATAAGATTAGAGAAATGTTAAAATTTTAATTGTAAATTAGGCCAAATGCGTAATGGAAAGGCTTTTGCCCTTCAGCATCTTCCAATTCATCATGTTTTTCATTTGAAAATTCGAGGTTCACAAAATGTTTACCACGCGCTCAATGTTAAATGGGAGCAGTACACGGCAGACGCATCAATTTTTGACACTGAACCTTTCATTCGTGAATGCTTTAGCATAATTTAAAGCTAAAAACAGCGCGAATGGCAGAGTGAAACAAACAACCTCTTTCACATATAGAAATAACATGTAATCGGTGGTGCGCCAGATGCGCCATTATTTGTCAACCGCAGAAGGTGACATGTGACGTAACAGCATCAAGAGCGTCTTTTTCAAGAACTTTAAAAAATATGTTTTCTATCTGTCTTCCCCCATTTTTCTCAGCATAATGCTTTTGTGAGGAAACTGTATGCACCATAATTTCTGCAAAAATAGTCTGATCATTTCTATACATTCTTCAAAAATCGAGTTCCCAACCCCATTGTTCAAAACATATTTCAAGTGAGTAATAGCATCAGAGAGCAAGAGCCATCATGCTTCTCGACAGAAAAACGCGTTTTTTCGTCAAATGTGAATTCAGACTACACCTATAGAAACAACTTTAAGCACACATGGTAATAGACCCCGCTCCAAACCGTATGCTTCCATTGTATATTCGAGCCACACCAAAACCCTGGTAACGGCTGTTTTCATGACTCCACCGAAATATTTTACTGCATAGTCTGACTAATTACGACACGCCAAGTAATTAACATAAGCCAGTATATTTTACTGTGCGACGCAGGAAGGCGAAGCATCGATCGTTGCAAGTTGCACGACGTTAAGATTGGCGTTGCAAGGCCAGTAAGTCTGGCCCTGACCAGACCTAACCGACAGTAGTTGAGAGCTAACGGTAGGCTTTGCGGCGATACGACTCTAGAAACTCCAGAAACTCATAGTTTTAGGGGTGACAAGTACATCGAAATGCACAGTCGCAATAGACTCAGCGGCCAATACCGCTCAACTTTTACTGAAGCTCGAGGAAGCTAGAACACGTTTGAAGATCTTGTAAAATATGCATGACATGGTTAGGTCGATTCAATGAATGATTAATTCAGCTTGTAGATTACAGAGGCCAAACGCACGTTTTACTAAGTCAAAGATACGTTTAACGGCGATTTGGTAAACGTAAAACGCATGCTATAACAGTTTTAGAAATATCTTATCACATTTAGCTGGCCTAAATTGTTACTGCATAGTAAATAAATCGTTTCGTGATTGATTTTTCTTTTACAGCAATATTTGGGCTCATATGTGTACCCTCTGATGTTACCGAGGCATATCGTCTCCCCTCTCAAGTGATGTGGGGAGAGACCAATATGCTACGATGTGTTACATAACGCGTTTTGCCCTCTCTCTCTCTCTCTCTCTCTCTCTCTCTCTCTCTCTCTCTCTCTCTCTCTCTCTCTCTCTCTCTCTCTCTCTCTCTCTCTCTCTCTCTCCTTCCTTCAGATGCGTGACCGCTGTGCTTGGGAGCAAGGAGGAACCTGTCTGATTCTAAGTAGCGGTGACGCTGCTACGGAGAAACTGGTAGAACGCTTCGTGCCCATCGACAACGAGGTCAGAATGATGATGATGATATTGATGGTGATAATGATGATGATGATGATGATGACGATGATGATGATGATGATGGTGATGATGATGATGATGATGATGATGATGATGATGATGATGATGATGATGATTGTAGATATAAAACTTTATCGGAATTCACTGGTATTGTATTGCGTATGCAAGTCCAAATATTCGGCCAATATTGTTTGGCCTTGGTCACTGGACAACTACAATAACCCTATAAGTATAGCTCACATTGCAGCGATACTTATACTTATAGGGTTATTGTAGTTGTCCAGTGACCAAGGCCAAACAATATTGGCCGAAATATTTGGACTTGCATACGCAATACAATCCCAGTGAATTCCGATAAAGTTTTATATCTACAAACATAAACCTGGGAAAAATATGACTCTAAAACAGCACAGATGATGATGATGATGGTGGTGATGATGATGATGATGATGATGAATCTCTGACTTAACGAACATATGACCTGGCCCTAAACTGACCCTGACCTGACCCTGACATGACCCTGACCCGACCCTGACTCTGACCTCAGACCTGACCCTGACCTTAAGTTGACCTGACCTTGACCTGACCCTGACCTCAGACCTGACCCTGACCTTAAATTGACCTGACCCTGACCTGACCCCGACCTGACCCCGACCTGACCCCGACCTGACCCTGACCTGACCCTGACCTGACCCTGACCTGACCCTGACCTGGCTCTGACCTGACTGACCTGACCCTGACCTGACTCTGACATGACCTCAGACCTGACCCTGACCTGACCCCGACCTGACCTTTCCCTACCCCTCTAGGTTATGGTGGCGGAGGTGCGACAAGACTCTCCAAGCGAAACCACTACAGTAGATCTTGTAGAGGTCTACCATCTAGCGGGAACTGCTCATCGGGACATAGTGGCCCGTTGGAAAGAAGACGAGGGTTTCAGTGATGTAGATGAAAGGAGTATCTTCGTTCGGAGAGGAGACTGGCAGGGGCTGCGGCTGCGAGTTACTTCCATTCAGGTCAGAGAGGTCAGGTGCTGGTCACAGAAAGCTGACTGTGAAAAGGGATCACTGACAGGGATATGCAGTCGGCAGCGATGGACTTAAATTTTGGTAAATATATGGGCAAACTGGACAATAATAGGTAGATTCACGTGTATTCTCAAAGGGAGTCACTCGACCATATAGGCAAAAAGAGGACCATACAGGCAAAAAGAGGATACATATTTTGCGTGATCATGAGTCCCCCGTGCTGAAAGGAAACTCTGCCAGTGGATTGCAATAGTATGTTATTTTCTACTCTAATTCTTCTACTTGTGCTTAACCACCCATAACAATCGGAGTCGCCACCGCAGCTTCGGTCGTTCGGAGTTTCAGCGGCTTGAGCTTTGAGGTGGGGAGGGGAGCACACCACACCAGTACACAGCAGCCGTGCAACGTTGCACATGTTGTACACAGTACATGACAACTTCCTATTCCATGTGTGTTCAAGTGCTATAAGCCTTCATGACCCAGGCTGTGCTGTCGCACTTAGGTAGTTCTGTATACCAAATGCATGCCCCCGGCCCATGACGTGCTTGAATCGTGACTTTTATAGCCCTGCGCCGTGTCGTTTCCACCAGATGTGCACTGAGGCGACCTTGCCCGATGCTAGCAGGTATATTTACATGCGCCAGTCGATTCAGTTTTCTGCTATGGAGTCTGGGAATCTGAGTGAAGGAAAAACCCTCACCCCGTTTATACGAGTATATTAGAAGCATGCCGCCATTGGCAGATCAAAATGGTAATCAGGAATATGCTTTCATTTCACCAGATGTCGATCTATAACGAACCATTTTCGTTTCCAAAATTGACCGTGGTAAGTCATTTCCCTATCGCTCATATTTGACCTATATTGGGTTCATATTTGGTCATATTTAGCGCCGAATACTTTGTTTCAATTTAAGAGCCTTCCCTGGATTTTACATGCGAATGTTTACGTTCGTGTATAGTGTTGTGTTGTGTTGTGTTGTGTAGATGTGTTATCCATTTGTCTGTGTGTACCTGTTTCATATTTCCATTTTCCAGGATCCACCGTACACCGTTCTAGCTAACGCCAGCCACGTTATATCGGGAATTGTTGGAAACGTCTGGTCCCAGCTGGCCGACGCACTGAACTTTACGTGAGTTGCTGAGCAAGGAGTTAATCTGAGTTGGTCTGAGTTGCTGATAGCAGCTTTGAAAGATTGAATGAGTCTGTTGATCAGTTTGCTAATAAAAGCGTAGGTAATATGCATCGTATTATTTTCGTGACGTTTATTAAAAAGTTTCGAATCATTTCAGGAGACATTATGGCAGGATAAGAGGATATATTTATATGTGTTTATCGATCTTGGATCCATATCAAACCTGAAACATATTGGTGTGGTTTACTACCAACGTCGCTGTCCTTGTACACCTTTAGTTGTACTCCACTAGTACACCACAGATACACCCTCGATATACCTGTTGGGTTATGTATTGTTATGTATTGGCTGTGTTATGCGCTGCGTGGCCGGGGTGAGGCGTCCCTCTCGGCGCGCTGCTGGGTGCGCCTCTGCGGGCCGCCTCCCGCTGGGCGCGCCGCTGCCACCGGCGGCGTGGGGTCACGGCCGCAGCCGGGGGCGGCGGTCATTCTGGACCTGGGGCTCGCCACGCGTGCTGCTGCTGCTGCTGCCGTTGTGATACCCGACCTAATACATCACAAATGGAGACGCTGCCTTTCGACCTAACATTGGCGCGGTCGGCGCGGCGTCCGAAAACTTACAAATCTGGCACACCCGGGGTTATCCAGAGAACAGGTGGATCATATAGCGCTAGATCACTTCCTGTGTGGTCTGAGCGATCTTAAGCTTCAAGAGAAGCTGCACAATGACCACACTGTGCTGTCGCTTCAAAAAGCGGAGGAAGTTGTCCAGAGACTTTGGGAAAAGGACCTCACTCTCGCCGTTATGCGGGCGTCCGCCGGTCATGACACGGCTGTGGCAATTTCGTCTGAAGAAGCGCAATCCATCGAGGGTGGACAGGCACCAGATATTCTGACCATTCTTGGAGAACTCCGGAGTGAGTTGAATGAAATGAAAGTCCAGCTGACCGAGCACCGCAAAACGACCGGCAGTAGACGAGGCGTTTGTTACCTGTGTGGCGATACCGCCCACTTCAAACGTGATTGTCCGCAGTTTTCAAACCGACATAAACGGACAGCACGAGCCGCTACCCCGAGGGCAAAACTGAGCGCGATTCCGCCCGGTATTCCCTGCCAGGGTTGTGGACGGTACGGGCACGCGCTACCCGAATGCTGGAGAACGCCAGTCGCAGCAGGGGGCATCGCTCCCTCGAGCCCCGCACGCGACATATCTGGCGCTGTGGAGAATACTCCGGCAATGCCGGGGCAAGAACCAAACACCAAGCGCGCTTCTGTCATCAAAATCGAAGTCGAAGGGCGCAGCGTATGGGCCCTGGTTGATTCTGGAGCCGACGCATCAATGATCGGACAAGAATTCGCCCAGACGGTCGTACCGAAACACTCGTCCCGCAGAGGGCATTTTGGAGCAATAACTCAGGCGGGTGGGCAGAGAATACAGGTCACTACACAGGCAGAAGTGTCATTCTCCATACAGGCTTTGCAATTCATCCAGCCTATGCTGGTAATTCCAGGTCTGATTTACCAAGTCGTTCTCGGCCGAGACTTCTGCTGCCAGCACAAAACAGTGCTAGACGACAAGGCAGGGGTCTTCATACCTATACGCCTTTTGCCCGTACTGCAGAGGTGCACCGTCCTCCTCACTTACCCGTACACCGCAGGTACAGTATATCTAAAAAGTATGTCCCCTGGTTTGGCTCTCCCACAGGAGGCGATTCGGCAACTTGGCTGAATCCCAGTTGCGGCACCCGGCCGCCAGGGTCGCTGCCGCGCGAGCGGCCTTGACCGCTCGCATGTCATTGGCAGTTCGGTCCCTCCCCATCTATACCAAGGTGGGGAGGGGAGAAGAGGGGAAGAGAGGGGAGGGAGCGGCATCCGCTCGGCACTGGGCGATACCTGGCTGACCCCGCGCTCCCTCGCTGACCTTTGTCCTGCCCTCAGGCGAAGACCGACTTCCTGGCCTGTAGCGGCCCAGCGGAAAACCGAGCTCGCGGGGCGCGACTCCATTGACCCAATCTTATAAATGGAATGCTGTCGTATTCACGGCATTAGATAATATTTATAGTGATACTAGCAGTGGATGTGGTAAAATACAGTCCAAAACAAACGAAAGCACACGATTCGTGCATAATGCGCCCTCCCATTCAAATAAGCCCGCCCACTTCGATAGATGGTGTAGTTTCTTAGGGCGTAAAAGATGCAAAACACTACCGATTTTTTTTTTAGCTCGGCCACTGGGACCGACAATATACAATTGACTGAAATGCATGAAAACCATTTTGCATTTAGGCAATAGCCGTTTTCTGCACCCAAACTTTAGCCAGTGACGCCCTGTCCATTCTAAAGCGTTTATAAGATTGGTCCCAGCACCCGATTTTATATGAGGAAGTCGTTTAAAAAGCATCTTATTTCTAACGAATTTATTATTATGGCCACTTTTACAGGACGTCTATAGAGCTTTGACTTTTACATTTCTTCCTCGTTCAGGAGAAACGTTTTAACCCTCACCGGACCTTCAGGTTTTCTGAATAGGGGAGAGTGGGGAAAGATGCTCAGGGTTTTACTATGTCATATATTATTCGAAAATGACGATCGGAAAGCAAAGACTTGGAGTTTCAACGGAAGCCGACATCATTTTTCTCCAAAAATATCACACGTTCGTGCCTGAAATATGATAACTTTTTTTTTGCTATCAAGCATTTTCCTGAAGAAGTGAAAGGGGGCATCTTACCCCACAGGGTGGGAAAGACGCCCCCTGGCGTTGGGAAAGATGCCCCCTGCACTATAAGTGACATAAATGGGCACGTGAATCGCCTGAACGAATCAGTAGTCCCTTCGAGCCTGCAGTAGACACCAAACGTCATCGTAAGGGCCCTCAAAAGTAGTCGTAAGGGGCTTCAGAGGTCATCGTTAGGGCCATCATAGTCCAGCGCGGCCAAACAAGCCTCTGTGGTGGCGTTCGGAGACCACTGTGGGGCCCTTATAGGTCTTCATGATGCTTAAGGGCCCTCAAGCCCATCGTGGGTACCTCAGATGCCAGCGCGGCCCGTGGAGCCAACGTGGGAGCCCTCAAAGGATGTCGTGAGGGGCCCTGGATCCAATAATGGGGCCCACAGAGGCCGTCGTGAGGGCTCTCAGAGTCAGATGCCGCCCCAAAAGTCGCTGTGTGGGCCGAGAGGCCGGCATGGGGAGCACCCGACCGTACTGGACTCTCAATAGTCCCAGATCGGCTTTTGTCTCTCATCACAAGTATGTAATAAATGATTTGACGGGCTGCTTGAAGGACAGCCTACGGATATAGGGGGGGGGGGGCGTCTTTCCCCATCAGGACAGGGGGCATCTTACCCCAAAGTACCGAAGTAACATTAAATCAGTACAATTTGTTAGCCATAAAACTACACCCTGAAACAAACTGTTTGGGACACAGTACACGCATGTTAATGTATCACGACTATAACAAGGGACCCAAAAATTATCTATCTTCTTTGATATTTACAATGTTTTGACACCAAAATATTTTTTGAAAGCAGCAAATAAAAAACATGCAATCACCAGCCATCCGTTGCCCAACTGAGCTTCGTAAATTTTTGTGCAGTTAACAAGGCAGGCTTCCGCTTTACGCTATGAACATTAATTTCCAGGTTCGATTCATTGTTTCGCCGCTAGATGGGGTAGGGCGTCTTTCCCACCCTGGGCATCTTACCCCACTCTCCCCTACCGAGGGGGCGTTGGGGGTTGGAAGTGAGGAAACAACCCCTTCGCCGATTCGCCCCTAATTGAGCTAGAGCCTCACGAAAGAAACGATCGTGTGCGTCGTTACGAAATGCAGCGATTGGTCTCCGATTTAAGGACCAGGGTCACCGATGACTTCGGAGGACAGGTCAAGTGGCCCAAGGCACAGGTTCGGTGGTTGGTAAATAACTTCGCTAAAAATGATCGCAGATCCGCGATTTTAGCAGCATCGTGTTTGTCTAGCTCAGGCGTGTCCAATGGTATACCATAGTGTAATAAATAACTTAAATAGTTATTTATTACACTATGGTATACTTTTTCTTCGGGTGAGATCAATTTAACCCTCGCCCGTATAGAGGGGGGGGGTCGAACGGACCCCCCTCCCTCGGTTTTTCGCGAATAACTCGCGTAAAAAGCGGCCGATCGCGACGAAACTTTCAGTACCCTCGCGTTAATCAATTTTACACCCACCCTGAAATTGTCATGACCCTGAACTTAATGACCTTTGACCTGCGACCTACTTTTCGAGACCATGTTTGGCCGGAATCGCGATTCGGCGTATGTCGGCTCGCATTAGCGGCGCGTTTGCAGTCTTTTCGTGGTTTTAAGCGTTCAAACATGGGATATGATGTTGCTTCCATGCATTAGGGTGGGTGTCAAGGTCACCGGAAAGTCAGGTCAGGTCATTGACCTTTGATGACCTCGGTTCACTTTTTCGAGTTTTACATGTTTCTAGGCCAGTTTTAGGAGCTGAATTCGAATTTAGCAGCCATATGAACATTTACGAAGTAGTTTTGGTGCCCTCGTAACATGTTGCGAAGCTGTCAGAGGCGGTTTCCACCTACTACGAATACCCTTACTGGTTGACCTGACCTGACCTGACCCGACCTGGCCTAAATGCATGAAGACATCATCTGTGATCAAAACTAACATGATATTCGTGATCAGCACCCCGAAAACCCTATAGCAGCCACGCTTTACGACTTTCTAACAGGTCCCGATTTTCCCGACTTTTGGGTCATTGACCTAACCTGGAAAGTCAACCGATGACCTACGACCTTAAAATTGGGTATCATCGACTTCCTCTCGTCACGGCCAACACGCTCGTTTTTTCCGCGAAGCTCTAGCTCGATCAGGGGCGAAACGGCAAGTGGGGGTCCAACGGACCCCTCCCCCCCTTCGTTTGCGGAGCTGGAAAAACACCAATACGGGCGAAAGTTAAGGTGTTAACCTTGGGTCAAGGTCAGGTCACAGCCCTTCAGGTCACGAAGCTGGTCAAAGGAGGTCATATTGCATATCAATCGATTCGGCAGGTCTTTTCATGTCCATTAGTGGCTTTATCGACTCGGTAGCTTTAGTTGATCGGGAGTTATTGACGAAAAACTGATAGCCCTAGTTACGTGATAAATGACGTCACGCAAGATCAACAAAGCAAAATTGAAGCATCAGACCTTGCAAGGAGCGCATGAAATCACGATTCCGTGTGCTTGATAATTTGAGATAGTTGTATATCATTTCCGGACCAAACTAGCAATTTCCATATTCCCCTGACTTTTAATGGTGAGAGACCGACCTGATCTCAGGCGACCCTTCAGAAAATCCGAGATATACATTTATACAAGTTGTGAGACCTCTCGATCATACTATAAGATCCTGTAAGTTTCATTTCCCTATGAAAGCTCTGCACTGAGGGTGTTGCGAAGTTGGAACATTTTAAGACTGCGCACACAGTCCTAAAATGTTCATTTTAGGACAGTTTAGGACAGTTTCACACAGTTCATTTTAGGACTACTCATTTATGACGTCATAGATCAGTGACCTGACTTGACTTTAAAATGCGGTTGGCGTAAAAAATCCTACTTATCAAATCCCGACTAAAAAAAATCGACTTATAATCCGGTTAATCAAACCCCGACCATGTTTTTACCTGGCCATTAACCCTCGCCCTGGCAGGGCATTTTTCATAACACGGCCTGGCAGGGGGGGGGGGGTCGATGCGACCCCCCCCCTCGCGATTGGCTCCTATGGCACTTAGAAACACCAAATTTGGTAGGTAGGTGGGCCCCCTGGAGTTCTCGTCCCTGTGCAAATTTGGTTGCTCTAGGTCAATATTTAGGGGGGTTTTGGGGGGTATAAATGTAAAAATTTCGCTAAAAACAGGTCAAAAGTTTTTCGCTTATAACTTTTGATCTAATTAAGATAGAGCAAAAAGAAAAGCACCAGTGAACTCAGCTCGTCAAGGCGCGTCGAATGGTATACTTTTTAGCTTGCTTAAGTGTACTTAAAGTTTTTCTTAAATTTTAAGTAAACTTAAATTAATAAATTAAGTTCAAGTTTACCAAATTGCATCATATCGCATATCATTCGATTCGGCTGATCACCAGGAACACAATGATACCATTTTTTAAGCTCTAGCGTCATTATGTGCCAAGTTATTGGCAAAAACGTCATTTGACCTCAGTTGACCTCATTTGACCTGACCCATGGATAAGTACACCAAACAAAGAAGCACCAAGTGACCTGCTGTTAATTACTGTGGTTTCAAAGCACAAAAGTGATAGAACAAAGCGAATATCTCCAGTATTTTCCGAATTAAGTATTTTCCCATAGGCTTAACATTACGACGTAATGACCTCTAACTGACCTCAGGTCAGTGACCTCAAAAAACCCGAACTATATGTTATACAACTCGGTGAACTTAGCACATCCTGAAAGTTTGAAGGAAATCAGTCCAAAACTGTGAGTTGGACAGGTGCAAAAAGAAAATTGAAATTTGACCATGACCTTGTACCGGTTTTTCTGACCTGGTGACCTGACCCAAGGTCACCCGGACCTGAAATTTTCAGGTCATATGTAAAAAGGTTGCCCCATAGGCTGTGCCAAATTTGGCGGCGCTGCGCGCCGCCGTTTTTACGCTATCTTCGAAAAACCTTAGGGGGGGTCGCATCGACCCCCCCCCCCTGCCAGGGCGAGGGTTAATGTTCTAGCCTTACAGGTGATTGTTTGAACGCGGAAGATGCTGAATCTTGGTTAACCCCATACTTATCGTATGATAAAGAACGTCAGTGTTAGAAATTAATTAACAATTTTATTTAGGCTAGTTTAATTCAAGTGGGTATAATCCTACTTGACAATTTACTAGGAGGGTTTTGCAGCGCTATTAGTTCGGTATGTAATTATAACTCATTGCTAATTTCGATCCGGATATCGTTATTCAATGCTGGCCTTTGCGTCCTCTGAAAAGTTGTTTATAGTCATGAAGGCTTGCATTGACCCATACTTTCCATTTTCAGCACCATTATTCGCCGTAGTTGACCAGGTGTTTTTCTTCAGCTCTCCCCTGAATCATTTGGCTTAGACCTGGCGTATCACCCGTGCATCGCAAGACGGCACCTACCACACACAAGTTCATGATCCCCACGAACCCACATCAGCGTCCGTTCGCTTGGTGTGTGACCCCTTGACCTTTGGCCGCGACAACTGCCAGCTTGCTGGAGCACCCCTCCATACACGCGCTGCCCCGCCCGCTCCCCTCCCCCCCCCCCCCCCCCCCGGGTCGTGTCACGAAGGTTCGGGCTTACGCTACTACCGGCCGCTGCGCAGCTGTCACCTAGCGCTTGGGAATGTGTGGTCTGGTGCGGATTCAGCCAACTACCGGCTCGCGACACCAGCGCCACGTAGTGGCGACGGTACATTCTTTTTAGACATACTGTACACCGTCGTTATACTCCCTTTACCCCGTAATCTGCACTAAAGGCAGAGCTATTTACTCCTTTTACCCGAACTCCACATGTACACTGTCGGTGTACTACCTTTCTATACCCCCACTGGTACACTGTCGTTACTCCCTTTGCCCTGTACCACAGGTATACCGCCGTCTCACTTCCTTACAATGTACCCAAAGGCTCACCGCCGTTGTATATAGGAAGGCACTCCTTTTTTCGTACTCCGCGGTTACACCGTCGTTATACTCCCTTTCCATACTCCACACTCACAGGTAATCCTTGGTGGTACACCGTCGCTGTATTCCCTTTTACCTGTACTCTATAGGTACACCATCGCTGTACTCTCTTTCTTCGTACTCCACAGGTACACCGCAGGTCCGCAGGTACACTGTCGTCTTACTCCCTTGCCCTGCAGTACCCAAAGATACACCGTCGTAACTCGTTATGCTCCCTTTACCCCGTGGCCCATACTCCACCAGTACACCGCAGGTATACCGTCGTTATACTCCCTTTACCCCGCAGTTACACTGTACAGCGTGCCCCGGACGGCCAGTTTGGAATGCTGCTTCACACCGGTAACTGGACGGGATTAATGAAAACTCTGGTGGAAGGCCAGGCCGATGTGGCGGTCTCAGCAGTGGGTGTTTCCAACCAGAGAAAGGAGTATGTGGACTTCACACACCCGATCGTACACCACTGGTGAGTGTTTTTACTCCTTACTTTACTCCTAATGCTATATTCTCTCTATAAACAAAACGAGAGTAGCACTATACCTATTATCCAGAAAGAAAAGTGGATAAAACAGCATTGCTCTTAGATCCATTATGGCAATTGGCAACTCACAATGACTTGTCTTGATCCACAGGAAACATGTGTTCATGAACAAGCCCACCGGTGGCGACCCGATCTCCGGCGCCTTCCTGTTCGTTTTTCACTGGACTTTGCTGCTAGCGTTAGCACTCTGCACAGTGGTTGGATGGTGGGCAATGGCGGCCTTATACTGGGCTGAACGGCAATACGGACTGGCTGCTACTAAGGAGGGAAATTATGGACTCTGGGACTGTCTGGTGATCGCAATGTGCGCCGTTTTTCAGCAGGGTGAGTGGAGGCATGATCCACTGTGCAGTGTGCATTCAATAAGATCGAGAGTATTGTACGTACCTATACTAAGTAAAGAACTAACGTAAAACACTGTGCTAGATGTTGCATTATCAATGAGACGGAAGTGAAGTCCATAGAAGTACGCCATTTTTGCAGAATACTAATCGCAGATAAATATCTCATAAACCTTCGAATTCTAAAACCTCCCAAAACCCATGTCATGGTCTGTGTCCGAATACTTTCTTCTCTGTCAGAAAGTGTCCCTCTACTAACCTTTCTCTTCTGCTACACAAATACATACAAGGATGGTAAACAAGCAATCCTCAAACGGCCTCTTTTCGGGAGGCCCTGATTATGATCTTGGACGGTTTTGTATTTATTTATTTACATCGTGTGCTCATCCCTGTAATCATGACCAAGGTCATAGGTCTATTCTTGAGCACGAATCAGAACACATTGTCATACCAATGTTAAAACATTCACGAAGAAACATTCACATGGCATTATCACATACAAAATTAGAATACTAACGTATCTCAGCTCTTTTATAAGCGTTTTCCCCACCCCTCTATTTTCAGGTCCCGAGTACAATCCAGACGGCCTGGGCTCTCGTTTTCTTCTCTGGACGCTGTTCGTTGCCATGTTCATGATCAATGCATCTTACTCGGCCGTCCTCACCTCGTATCTGGCCATTAAAAATGAGGACGTGCCCATTAAAAACTTTGATGAGTTCCTGCAAGATGGCAGCTACACGCTCGCGCTCAGGAATAACACGATCTATGTGGAGGATTTCAAGGTAAGTGAATCATAAGAAATGTTAACACTTCATGCAAATGCTGACATGGAAAAAATACAAAATTGGATGCTTCCAATGCACAATAAGTCAAAATCTCTTATCGTACTTATTGTGCTGAGATAAATTTACAAATATCATAAGAAAATGAAATAGAAATAATCCTTTCCACGCCATTTTAGTGGCATTCATTAGCCTTCCTTTGTGTCAATTTTGAATACAAATAGCAATGGATTCATGTTTATTCGAAACTTTCTAAAGCGTTGGAAAAGGGGACTTAATAAACATCCTTTCGTACAGACTGCTAATAAGAGAACCCTTCAGCGGATTTTCGAGAAGCACGTGGAAGTGATGTCAGATGATGACGTCATACAGCAAAGAATGAAAACAGACGATAAGCTGGCCTTCTTCAAATTTTACACGGGTAAATATCCATTAGTTAGCTTAGTAAAGTTATCTTTTAACGACTGCTTTTAATCATTATGATCATTCAAATTGTTTCGTCCTGCTGACGCGTTTTAAGTGGATATTATGTACCTACAACTAAGCTATTTGTATAATGTTTAGTACATACCTATTTTATATACACTTAAAATTAACCCGTGCCCTGCTGGGGGGGTGTTTGAACACCCCCCTTGTGGTTTTTCGCGAATATCTCAAAAACGGCGGCGCGGAGCGCCGCCGTTTTTGGTACACCTTATCATACATCAATTCTACACATGTTGTGAACATTTCAGAACAAGGTCATTCAAGGTCAGGTCACCAGGGCACTTGAAGTGACCTCACCTCATAAAAAGTTTCAATGTCTGTCATAGCTACACCGAGTGACCGATCGCTTTTAAACTTTCAGCGATTGCTAAGAGCAATAGCATGTACAAAATGTATATCTCAGAATTTTGATATCGATGACCTAAGGTCAGGTCAATTTTGCGACCTCCCCATTATAAGTCAATGGGAGAAAATTGAAATGCGCCTCTTTTGGATGAAAGACATTATAAACACTCCCAAACACCAAATTACAAGTGGTTTAGACACACTGAACATGAAAATGGTGTCCGTGACCCTTGTTTATGCCCTGAGGTCATCTTAGGTCACGAATGGTATCTAACAGTTTTTCGCAAATAACTTTTGATAGAGGCATGCTAGAGCGATAAAAACGCCTTAGATGTGTTCAGCTCGACGATACGGATCGACTGATATGCAACATGACCCTTTCCGGTCAGGTCATGACCTTGACCTGAGGTCAAATTTTCAAGTTGACCTTTCAAGGTCAAGTTATAGTTCATTTGATGCGTCTTGACGAGAGGAACACGATGCCGGTAACAGTAAGCTCGTATAAGGCTTGGGTCAAAAGTTATTGCAGAAAAACTGTTTCCGAAAAAATCGGCTATTTTTGCAGTTTTTGCCCCCTGTAGGCAAAACCGTTGACGTTAGGTCAAATCTGAGAAAATTACTCAGAAAGGGCGTTAATAGGGCTATCGAATGCGCTTTTCCGCGGCGCTGTAGCTCTATTGGTTCCCGAGTTATGCGTTGGCTTCTTGGAAATTTTCGACATTCGACCTGGAAATCGGCGAAATTTTGCTTTCAATGACCTCTGGTGACCTGACCTTTGACCTGACCAAAAAATTGACCGAAGTGTTTTCGTCATTATTTTTGACGCTCTTTCGAACGCCGCCTTCCGAGTATCGCTACGTGGCCCAGGAGCCGAGTTACAAGGGGGGGGGGGGTGTTCAAACACCCCCCCCCCCCAGCAAGGCGTGGAAATCCAGGACCCCCAGCCGGGCGCGGGTTAATATGCAAGGATGTTATGTATAGTTACTTTTCGGATTATTCTCTGGGATAATAATATATAACTCACTTGTGGACTTGTGAGTTATATATTATTATCCCAGAGAATAATCCGAAAAGTGACTATACATAACTAATTTCCTGGAAAAAATGACTTTAAAACAACATATGCAAGGATGTGTTGATTATTTCCTATTACCATGATTGCTTTCATTATCGATATTTCATTACATTTATCGAACTCTTGCGGTACTATCTGAAGAGTAAACAAAGATGGCGTCACCCGTTTTTTCAGGAGCTGAAGACTGTAGCCTGTTCAGTTTTCGAGCTGAACAGTTTTCACCCGTGCTCGCAATGGCACTGCAAAATAACTCACCCTACAGGATATTCTTCAACTATCAGTAAGTAACACAGTAGATATATTGAACAGGCATGTAACAGGCCTGTATAGCTGATGATCAGTGAAATCGTTCTGAATATCTGAATATCGAAATATATGAATATTCGAATATCTGAATATCTTAATGTTGATAAGGCGGTGCTGATGACCAGTGAGCTCCGGTTCTGATTATCTGAATACCGAAATATCTGAATATCTGAATATTGATTAGGCAGTGCTAATGACCAGTGAGCTCGTTGTGATTATCTGAATATCTGAATATTGACCCGGCTGTACTGATGATCAGTGAACTCGCTCTGAATATCTGAATAGGTATAGAAATATATGAATATTCGAATATCTAAATATCTGAATATGGAGATTTCTGGAGATTGGCATCACGGATACCAAAAGAATGACGATTGTTCTCTCTTGAAACGCAAAATTTGTTTTCAGTTTTGTTAAGAAAGATTAACAAAATTATAGCAATGTAATTTTCTTTACATTCAAGTTGTAAAATAATCAGTCAAAAGTCCTTTGTTTACATTCGTGTTTGGCACATGTGCGCCATAATTGTAGACCAGAGCCTCCAGAGAAATTTGGACCTCCCAACTCTCTGGAGGCTACTGTAGGTTTCTGGAGCCTTGGCGAGAGCTTTCTGGAGCCTTCTGGAGGCGCTGGAACGCTCTCTGGAGGATTCTAGAGCTTTCTGGAGCTGTCTGGAGGTTTCTGGAGGCGCTGAAACAGGCCCATAACCAGTGAGCTCGTCCTGTTCCCAGTCTGAGCAGACTGGACGAGGGAGGAATCCTGGACCGGTTAGATCGTCAGTGGACCTACGTGCCAGTGGGCGACCAGTGTCAAGACTCCAACGAGGTGGTGAGTTAGTGAGTTAGACTCCAACGAGATGGTAACTTAGTGAGTTAGACTCCAGCGAGGTGGTGGGTTAGTGAGTTAGATTCCAACGAGGTGGTGAGTTAGTGAGATAGACTCCAACGAGGTGGTGAGTTAGTGAGTTAGACTCCAACGAGGTGGTGAGTTAGTGACTTAGACTCCAACGAGGTGGTGAGTTCGTGAGTTAGACTCCAACGATGTGGTGAGTTCGTGAGTTAGACTCCAACGATGTGGTGAGTTAGTGAGTTAGACTCCAACGAGGTGGTGAGTAAGTGAGTTAGACTAACGAGGTGGTGAGTTAGTGAGTTGGACTCCAACGAGGTGATATGTTAGTGAGCTAGACTCCAACGAGATGGTAAGTTAGTAAGATAGACTCCAACGATGTGGTGAGCTAGTGAGTTAGACTCCAACGAGGTGGTGAGTTAGTGAGTTATGTTAGACTCCAACGAGGTGGTGAGTTAGTGAGATAGACTCCAACGAGGTGGTGAGTTAGTGAGTTAGACTCCAACGATGTGGTGAGTTAGTGAGTTAGACTCCAACGAGGTGGTGAGTAAGTGAGTTAGACTAACGAGGTGGTGAGTTAGTGAGTTAGACTCCAACGAGGTGGTGAGTTAGTGAGTTAGACTTCCACGAGGTGGTGAGTTAGTGAGTTAGACTCCAACGAAGTGGTGAGTTAGACTCCAACGAGGTGGTGAGTTGGTGAGTTAGGCTCCAACGAGGTGGTGAGTTAGTGAGTTAGACTCCAACGAGGTGGTGAGTTAGTGAGTTAGACTCCAACGATGTGGTGAGTTAGTGAGTTAGACTTCAACGAGGTGGTGAGTTAGTGACTTAGTGAGTTAGGAACTCAGAACGATGAGTAGACGGTTTAGGAGTTGGGGATAGTCAGTGAACGATTCGCGAGTCAAGAGTCCAGGATAGGTGGTGAGTTACCGGCTCAAAAACTCAGTGAGTGGGTGTTCGGCTCAGGTCAACTCAAGGGAGTGGGTCAAGAGAGTCAACTCAAGTGGGCAAATTTGGTTAAAACAGATTAAATGGTTACTCATGTCACTCCGTAGTCTAGGTAGGTAACTATTTATTTTCAAAGACTGTATAAGTGAAGAGCGGGTAGCTCGGTTTATTAAATTGGACATAATGACATGCTGGGAATACCTTTGAATAATTTATTGAACAGGTTGCCAGCTGTTTCACTAATCCTTATTAGCTACGAAACAATACTACCCAAGCATATTTAATTCCTTCAAATAGAGTAAATACAGTTGTTACTACACCTTTTTACACTCAACTTAAAATAAGTCACACTCAAATTAAAAAAGGTCAAATTCAAATTAAAAAAGGTCACAATCAAATTAAAAAAGATCATACTCAAATTAAAAAAGGTCACATACAAATTAAAAAAGATCACACTCAAATTAAAAAAGCTCACATTCGATTTAAAAAAGGTCACATTCAAATTAAAAAAGGTCACATTCAAATTAAAACTGTATTTCGTTCAGGGGTGTAGGATCGCAAAATAGGTTGGGGGGGGGGGGGCTGAACCCCGGACGCCGGTGGGGCGGCGACGAAAGGTGCTGAGCGGGGGGGGGGGGGAAACAGCAGTGGAAAAGGTGTTGACCGGGGGGGGGGAGGGAGCGTGGACCATGGTGGTGAAAAGCGGGTCTATGACTTGAGTGATATGACTTTTTCTCCCCCTGGATCCAAGTTCAGGCTTATAAGATAAGGCGTAGGTATTTATATTCCGGCTCAACGTTTTGCAACTACATTTATGCAGTGTATGTTCCCGCCCTTTTCAAATGCAAAGTGATGCCACTAAAACGGTATATGTATGCTCTTCTTATCCTTAAGGCTGATGAGAGATTCAATTTCTTGATTGATTCAGTATTTAGATTCCTATCCCCTAGTTTGGCAAACTGTTTCAGGGGTTCCTTGGAGGTACCCCTGCACTTTCCTAAAATCTAGGTACTCATTTTTCACCAATCACCCACTTCATTTCGGAAGGGTCAAATTTTTGTGTCAAGATTGTAGACTGTTTAATGGCTCCCTTTTGTCTGTTTCACGGACCTCCTCGACTACTTCTAGGGCCACGATAGCGGTATCAACAAATTAGGCGGATTGTGATCGGTAAAACAGGACAGTGACAGAACAATTTATGTTGTAGTATTTCGCAAAACCCCCACATTCTGCATAGCATTGGAAGCATAATTTTGTTTTTAAAGTTGTAGGTCGTGTAGCCACACGAATACTCTCAAAATGCACGAAACAATTGCAGGCACGTACGTACCTAGGATTTGGCCAAGGGGGGGGGGGCGGAGGATCCCGGGGGCCTCCTCTCTACAGGGCGCCTCCTCTCTACAGAGGGCAAGGGAGGGTCTAGGCGAACGTTTTTGTGTGTGTGTGTGGGGGGGGGGGGGGTTACAGGTCGGCTGACATGCCGGGTCTGATGGATGAATTCTGACGACCGGAGGAGGGGGAGCGAGTATGTCGAGATCAAAAGGCATTTCGTCTTCGCCGCTTCTAAGATGAAGCTTTATCGTTATAAGTAACTCGGCTCCCCGCGCCCTGCTGGGGGTCCTGGATTTCCACGCCCTGCTGGGGGGGGGGGGGGTGTTTGAACACCCCCCCCCCCCTTCTAACTCGGCTCCTAGGCCACGCAGCGATACGCGGAAGGCGGCGTTCGAAAGAGCGTCAAAAATAATGAGGAAATCACTTCAGTCAATTTTTTGGTCAGGTCAAAGGTCAGGTCACCAGAGGTCATTAAAGGCAAAATTTCGCCGATTTCCAGGTCGAATGTCGACAATTTCCAAGAAGCCAACGCATAACTCGGGAACCAATAGAGCTACAGCGCCGCGGAAAAGCGCATTCGATAGCCCTATTAACGCCCTTTCTGAGTAATTTTCTCAGATTTCACCTAACGTCAACGGTTTTGCCTGCAGGGGGCAAAAACTGCAAAAATAGCCGATTTTTTTGGAAACAGTTTTTCTGCAATAACTTTTGACCCAAGCCTTGTACGAGCTTACTTTTACCGGCATCGTGTTCCTCTCGTCAAGACGCATCGAATGAACTATAACTTGACCTTGAAAGGTCAACTTGAAAATTTGACCTCAGGTCAAGGTCACGACCTGACCGGAAAGGGTCATGTTGCATATCAGTCGATCCGTATCGCCGAGCTGAACACATCTAAGGCGTTTTCATCGCTCTAGCATGCCTCTATCAAAAGTTATTTGCGAAAAACTGTTAGATACCATTCGTGACCTAAGATGACCTCAGGGCATAAACAGGGGTCACGGACACCATTTTCATGTTCAGTGTGTCTAAACCACTTGTAATTCAGTGTTTGGGAGTGTTTATAATGTCTTTCGTCCAAAAGAGGCGCATTTCAATTTTCTCCCATTGACTTATAATGGGGAGGTCGCAAAATTGACCTGACCTTAGGTCATCGATATCAAAATTCTGAGATATACATTTTGTACATGCTATTGCTCTTAGCAATCGCTGAAAGTTTCCAAGCGATCGGTCACTCGGTGTAGCTATGACAGACATTGAAACTTTTTATGAGGTGAGGTCCCTTCAAGTGACCTGGTGACCTGACCTTGAATGACCTTGGTCTGAAATTTTCACAACATGTGTAGAATTGATGTATGATAAGGTGTACCAAAAACGGCGGCGCTTCGCGCCGCCGTTTTTGAGATATTCGCGAAAAACCACAAGGGGGGGTGTTCAAACACACCCCCCCCAGCAGGGCGCGGGTTAAGTTAAATCCACCTATACAAGTGCGTCGCCACGGATTTCTTACTGGGGGGGGGGGGCGTATCAACCGACTTAAAAACCCAGAAGTTGATATTGTAACCGCACTTTTAGCCTAATGCATTAGTAGCATACAGTAGCGATCTCTCTTATTGACCTGTTAACGAACCGGCGGCGCGAAGCGCTGCGCAAATTTGCAAAAAAAAAAAACGTTTGTCAAAACACAGCTCCAAAACACAAATTTTACGACCCTTTTAGTATGCTAGTACAAGCCGGAGTTCCTTAACAGTTTAGGTAGTCGACTACAGAATGATGTTCCACTTTTCACAGGCAAATATTTGCCTGGAGTGGTAGGCTGTGCCGCATCACACGGGCTGAGTTCACAAATTATAACTTTGTCCTAATGCTCACAATCGACAGGCGTTTAATTGCGTGATAAACGGCACAACTAGCGCTCCAGTCAACTGATAGCTTCTGAGGAGTGGAACATCATTCTGTAGACGACTATACACTTAAAGGAATTTTGATTCAATTTGACACGGTTGGACGTTGGTGTTATTACAGTTACCTTTCTTATTGATTGGTGTATGAATCGGAGGCGCGGAGCGCCGAGAAAATTTGCAAAAGCATTTGTCAAAACACTGCTCCAAATCACAAATTTTACAACTCTTTTAGTATGGTAGTACAAGCCGGAGTTCCTTCACACTCCACAGTACACATATGAATTCCGATTCAATTTGACACGGTTGGTTGGTGTAATTACAGTCACGGCCTAGTATTGACTTGACCTACCTGTACGTACACAAATTTGCAAAAAAAAAAAATCAAAACACAGAGGGACCTCCTCTCTAGAGAGGACCACCTCTCTACTGTGGGCCTCCTCTTTTCACAGGGCCTATCAACTACAGAAGGCCTCCTCTCTACAGAGGACTTCCTTTCTACTGAGGGTTTATCTCTTTCAGAGGGCACCCTTTCTTCAGAGGACCTCCTCTCTAGTCTCTACAGGGGACCTCCTCTCTACAGAGGACCTCATCTCTGCAAAGGGCCTCCGGCCTCCTCTCTACTGAGGGAGTCCTCTCTACAGACGGCATCCTCTCTTCAGAGGGCCTCCTCTCTACAGCGGGCCTCCTCTCTTCAGAGGGCCTTCTGCTTTCAGGCGGTCTCCTTTCTACAGAGGGCCTCCTCTCTACACAGGGCCTTCTTTCTACAGATGGTCTCTTCTCTACAGAGGGCCTCCTTTCTAC